ATCATATGAATAATAAAAGAGAAAAATTAAGACGAGAAAGACAAACCTCTTTCTCTCTCTCTCTCTAAAAAGATTAAGACAAGAATAAATTGTCTGCTATGGAACTTTGTCATATCTTTCTTCTCAATATATAAAGCTTTCTGCCATAATAGCTATGTAGGGAGAAGTTATTATGTGCGGAGTCCAGACAGGAAGAACCATTCAGACTGTAAGTATACACGTTATGTACACACAGTGTATAAAATTTGATACACATTGTGTATAAGTGTGTACATTCACATGTCCGAACGTTTCAATCATGTTCGGACTCCACAGAATAATTTATCTTATGTAGGGTATATAAAGCTTTCTGCCATAATAGCTATGTAGGGAGAAGTTATTATGTGCGGAGTCCAGACAGGAAGAACCATTCAGACTGTAAGTATACACGTTATGTACACACAGTGTATAAAATTTGATACACATTGTGTATAAGTGTGTACATTCACATGTCCGAACGTTTCAATCATGTTCGGACTCCACAGAATAATTTATCTTATGTAGGGGCAGCAAAAACTACTATCAAATTTTTTTTTTTTTTTTTTTTTTTTTGGAAAACCTACTATCAAAGTAATTTTGATCATTATGAAGAAACAATGAGTAAATTTTGACCTAAAATTAGCGCTAGGGTTTTTCCTTGCGGCTTTTCGCGTGGGATTTCTGGCGGCGGGTTCTCCCCGCCCCTCGGGGGGCTGCTGTCGTCGGAGTTCCGTTTGCTCTCAGGGAAGTTTTTTGTTCCCTACTTTTCTTTGTTTGGTGATTGTTGTTTTGGTGGTGTTGTGCTGCCCCTGCCGGTGGTTCCGACATGGTTTCTTCTAAGCTTAGAGACCCTGGTTTCTTGGGAGGGGTTTCTCATTCTCGGTCTTTTCTTCAAGCTTTGGCTGGTCCGAAATCTTCTTTTCCGGATCTGCATGTCTCTACTTTCCGTGGAATCCCGTCTCTTTTGGTGTCTGATGAGGAAATCTCTGAGCTAGCAGCTCCTTTTCAATTCTCCCTTGTTGGTTTCTTCCCTGCCAAAAGACCTTCGTTGGAAGCCATTCGCAAGTTTTTCTTTAATTTGAAGTTACAGAATGAGGTTTCGATTACGATTTTAGATCAATCGCATATTTTGATTAAGTTAGCGGATGACCTAGATTACTGTAGAGTGTTCTGCCACCGTTCGTATTTTGTTTTTAACTGTTTTATGAAATTGACGAAATGGTCGCCGACTTTGGACATTGGTGTTGAGTCACCGGTGATTCCCATCTGGATCTCCTTTCCTCGTCTTCGTCCCCACTTTTTTTCGCCTCGGATTCTATCTGGCCTTGGTGGTTTGTTTGGGAAACCTCTTAAAATCAATGATGTTGCTCTTGTTAAATTTCATCTTATTGAGTGCTTGAATTTGACCATAAGTGCTCAAAGATTTGTGTGTCGTTTATTAATAGTTAAATTTTTCAAGGTATGTTTACCCTTAATTTGGGTTCTTGAAGGTTGGATCGGATATTTATTTTGCAATAGTTTTTGTATTATTTGATGTTCAATTCAACTATAATTTGCTTTAAATCAAGATCTTGGATGATCATGTATTATCTAGGGGTGCACTGGTTCAGAACGGCTCGCAGTCGCTCGGCTCGACTTGTTACATCGGCTCCGACGAGCCCGAGCTTATCGAGCTCGACGAGTTTCGAGCTCGTAACCTAAACGAGTTCGAGCTCGACGCTAACGAGCTCGAGCTCGGACACTAGGCCTGATCGACACCCCCCCCCCCCCTTCATTGCTCGTCGAGTAGCTCAGGCGCGTC